TTCCCACTGCGCCGCTCTTCCGCGCAGGTGTGTTTACGTCATCACGAGTTTGGTGGATGCGGGGAATAGCATAGCCGCGGAAAAAGTTGAACGGTGGGTTTATCTTTAAAGTTCCAGGAGCACACACTTATAGATTACATAGTTCACATTTTTCGTCACAACCTCGTTTTCGAATTTTTGTTTTTGACCGATCAGAAGTGTTTCGTTTTCCCGTTGCAAAATTACCGATAAATTACTTCTCAAAGGCATCGCTTCAAAATCACTATAAATCCTATAGATTTGATATATCATTTATTCAACCATGTCTGTGTGAAATTTCGTGACAATTCTTAGTGTTGAAGTCAATGGTTTTGCTTGCGAACGAAAGCATTCCCAACTGAGCGGTCATGGTAATGAGGTGCCCCAGATCTCACGTGACTGCTATACTGCAACCTGATTCGTCAAGCGCGTTTGTTTACATTGTAGATGACCAAATGTTTGTTATGAGAGATCTTTCACTGATATTTTGTGCATTCCTGCAGGGCTTTTTTCACTAAAACAGCTTATAAAACAAATTGATTAAGTTTTTTGAAGATCGCATAATTTATTCAATTTCTTTAAATTTCTCTTCAACTTAAGATCACAGCCTTTGTTTAAAATACATTAAGAACAAAAGGAAAAAATTACCACTTATTTCCGCCAATATAATTGCTATAACTTCCTTATTTCTCAAGATATTTAAATGATTTTGGTGTCATTCTGTTTGTTATCTAGTTCTCTATCAAATTCAGTTAGATTTTCTGTTATATGGGGGGTTTGGAATTTTTTGTAACATACCTATATATGGTCTTTCTATATGGCTGATGGGTCTGGATCCCCCGCCTATCGCGGAAGTTACGTTCCAGACCCATCAGCAATAGGTGAAAATCCGCGATATAGAAAGACCATATACATAAACTTTTTATAGTTTAAGCCTTAAAATACCACTCCCACATGCTTTAAACACATGTGAACGTATTAAAACACACTCTGTAAACACATATGATATGTGGATGTTGGGCTAAGGATATGAGTGACATAAAATAGGAGAAATTCTGTTATCATTCGAATGTTTCTAGTAATGCATTGTGTTGGTCTTAAGTTTTACTCATAATGGTCTTAAAATGTCTTAAAAAGGTCTTAAATTTAACTTACTGAAACCTGCAAGAACCCTGAAATATACTGTACCAAGAATAAATAATGAAATACATTGATACATTCTATAATGAAATACATTCTATAACCATTTAAAAGATATTCATCATGTTTTATGTTTCCTTTTGCAGTATAATGATTGCAAAAAAACGTTAAAATTTAAGAAAAATCGTTACAGAGAATTGTGATCTTGATTCTAAGCAAAGGAATCTCGATCCACATAATTTCAGAATTGTTGCAGCCCTAATCCCAGGCAGCAATGGGCACTAGGCTTGGGTACCCACAGGAGGGGAGGCCAAAACCATATTTGTCTGTTGTCTGTTTTTTAAGTATCGATCGATATTTCTTTCTGTGATTATGTACTTAAGAATCATATCACATTCTGTTATTAAATCATAAGTCAGTTTTGTGGAGATTTTTTATATGAAATGTCAATAGATTTACGCACCTTGATGCGCAGGCCTCAGCCTCCCAAAATATAAAGGTTATATGCAGTGTTCAGCCATTCAGTTGTCTCCTGTGTATAAAGGGAACACAACTACGTTTTTTGATCTGTGATTTTATTGTAAAAAATTGTTACTGTGTAATATATTGGAGTATATAATATATAGTATGTTTTGAATGCATTAAAATACATGTATAAATAATGATTTTTATTCAATTTTTAATTTCTTTAATTAAACAAAAAACTACAGATAAAATATATTCATCAAAAAATGCACTCAGATTTCAGGTATAAGATTACTTAGTTTTATATTTTACTGAACACGATAAAAACATTCAAGGAATAACCTCAGTATTTTTCCTGGTTCATTGAAAACTATGAATATTTCAGCTGGCCTGATACATGTTCTGATTCACTGCAGAATTCACTTCTATTAACAGTATAAATAGTCACAAGGTCTTCTGGTACCACATTGAGTGTGTCATCCCAAATTTATACTCCCCCGTTAACTTCTGCCTGGTTTATTACTCGTTATTCTGTTACAACAAGGGCTAAGGTAACAAAGAAGTCACGGGTTACTGTGGGAAATGAGGCTAGGTTCTTCAGGCTGTTTGTAGCACGTATCTAAACCTTAATTCCCAGGAGCACAGGACATCTGCTGGGTGTAGGACAGGGATGCTGGAATAAGAACTCGAATTGTAAAGGTCCATCTTCCAGCAGCAGAACATCAGAAAATGACTGCCTTGTCAGGAGGTGAAAGGTGCATGATCTCCATTACTGTTGCTTTACCTTGTCAAGGGAGTTCCGGTTCTTTGCAGAAGAGTTACCTACTAGGGAAGGATTCTATATGCAGACAATGCAGTGGGGGGGGTGGGGGGGGCAGTATTACAGATTAGACATGCTCAGTGTAGCAAAAGACGCTCTGGCAGACAGAGGGCCGCACTCCAGCCGCCCGCCCCATCAGACGTGTGTCACACCTGGGTGCTTCCGAATGTTTTTTATTTCCCCGTTTGTTTACCGCTGCCTGGATTCCAGCGGGCATTCCGAGAAATTCCTCCGGGAGGGACTCTTTAGGGACATTTCTCGCCGCGTCCCTGAGTTTTCGCACATCAGCCCTCTCTGAAAGCATGAGCCTCAAGGTCGCTCGCTGCTCGTGGCAGGCAGGATAAAGCGGCCGCTGTCGCTCTCCTTTCTGGCGCGGGTGAACGTGAAGCAGAGACGCGTTTGTGACACTCCACTGCAGTTAGGAAAACAGCAGCGGTAACAGCACTTAATGAATATGTCACACCTTGTAGGGCTTTTATTATATACCCAGAGACATGCTTCTGCTCTTTAATAAACAACAAAAATGTCATATTCTAGTTACTCACACCTTAGTGTACCCTTATGTAATATATAAATGTTAATATTTTCAAAAGTGGTTTGGAGAGTGTAAGGAAAAATAGTAAAGATGCCCTAATGTTCTTAGTTGATCATTTGAATACAGACAGTGTTAGCAAATTCTGATCATGGGGGAAGTCAGGGAGAGAATGGGGGGGGATCCATTTGGCACCACTAGGGTGCTAAGGAAGATAATTCAGTTGACAGTGGCCAGAGAAGTGGCTGAGCTTCCATTTGCTCTCACAGGAAATCTCTGTCCTGTCCTGTCCTTTTCTGTCCTGTCTTGTCCCGTCTTGTCCCGACCTGTCCCGTCTTGTCTCGACCTGTCCCGTCCTTGTCTCAGGATCCTCACACTCCAGGGGGTCACTCTTTATATGCAAATTCCCTCACAACACCTACAGTACACACAGCACCTTGTTGGGGGGGGGGGTCTTTGGGGTATAAAGGGGGGGGTGAAAAACTCTCCCTATTTTGTATTTCAGCTGTCTTTCAATACCCGGTGTATGTCTACACTGTATTACATTATATTATTGTTACTGTTCAATAAACCACCGTATTGCTGAAACTGTAGAGACTCTGCAAGTGGATTCCAAGTCAGTCTTGTCATGAGCGGTCAGGGTTCAATGTGGCCAACAGTAAACAGGGGCTGTAGTCAGTGTAGCCTAGTAACTCTGTAGTATCTCTAGCCTGACATATTTGGACTCTTGTAAGGAAAAAAAATGCAAGAAAGGTCCTGGAAGACAATAGCAATTAATTTACCTCATTAATTTCAAAATGGAACCTCATTTCATTGTTCCTTTTTTTTGGTTTGATTTTCTCACTCTGTCTCTCTCTCTAGCTCCCCCTCCCCTCCCCCCCACTTTCCCCCTCTCTTATATACTCCAATTTGATTATAAAACTGCGATGCTTTGCAGACAGAAAGCTTTGAAAACATCCCGGCTAAATAGTCCACAATCTTCAGGCTGTAATAAAATATTCATGGCAGCTGTATTGCTGGTCCTACAGCTGGAAGCTCTTCAACAGCCATTTCACCTTCAGATCAAAAATGGAGCGCAACGAGAAAATGTTTTTCATTTATTCATTTGAAGGGCTGAGGAAAAATGCATAAGGCAACGCAAACTCACTGATCGTGTGAGCATTCCGTGATGGTAACAGGCTCTCATCCTCTTTTACTGCTTTTTTGTTCCAGATTTAATGGGAAGGAAGGACATGTCACAAAGACGGACCGGAAAAGTGGCAGAAGTTCGAAGGCGGCCAGGCGTTAAATGACAAGGAGGGAACAGGAACGCCTATCTTCATTAAACAAAGTTCCATTAATTGCCCATAGAGTGTCCGGTTAATAAAAATTAATGTCAAGTGTCAAAGCGAAGCAGCGTATTGCTGCCTAGCTGGAAATAATTTTGCTAATGGAAAAAATTCTGGTTAATATTCGATGCACTAGACACAAGTAAATGCAACATAATGCCTTCAAAGGTCTCTTGCTTATATGTTCTGACAGTCCTTTGCTGGGCAAGTGCTCTCTGGTACTTAAGTATATCGCGGCCATCAACCTCCTACGTTGGGCAGTTCTCCATACCCATACGAAAGACAGTGAAGCACAAGAATATTACCATCAACAACATCCGCACCCGCCCCCTGAACCCGCACGCTTTCGAATTCATCATCAACGAGCCGAAGAAGTGCGAGACCGACCCACCGTTCCTCGTCATCCTCATCAGCACAACACACAAGGAATTTGATGCCCGACAAGCCATCCGGGAGACCTGGGGGGACGAGGGCAGCCTGAGCGACATACGAATCATCACGCTGTTCCTGCTGGGCAAGAACACGGATGCCGTCCTCAACCAGATGGTGGAACAGGAGAGCCAGATCTTCCACGACATCGTGGTGGAGGACTTCATCGACTCCTACCACAACCTTACCCTCAAGACGCTCATGGGCATGCGGTGGGTTGCCACCTACTGCCCCAAGGCCAAATACGTCATGAAGGCGGACAGTGACATCTTTGTCAACATGGACAACCTGATCTACAAGCTCCTAAAGCCCAACACCAAGCCCAGGAGAAGGTACTTCACAGGTTACGTCATCAATGGCGGCCCCATTCGGGACACACGGAGCAAGTGGTACATGCCCCGGGACTTGTACCCCGACAGCAAGTATCCCCCTTTTTGCTCGGGTACGGGATACGTGTTTTCGGCCGACGTTGCTGACCTTATCTACAAGACGTCTCTCCACACGCGGCTCCTGCACCTAGAGGACGTCTACGTGGGGCTGTGCCTGCGCAAATTAGGCATCCACCCCTTCCAGAACAGCGGCTTCAACCACTGGAAGATGGCCTACAGTCTTTGTAGGTATCGCCGGGTGGTCACAGTGCACCAGATCTCCCCCGATGAAATGCACAGGGTCTGGAATGACATGTCCAGCAAGAAGCACCTCAGATGTTAACAGTGTGTAAGGACCAGACCAACTCCCATCCTGTTTTTCTCTGAAGTGTGTTATTAAACCCCAGAATCAGACGACTGAACAATGCTTCATCTGATGACAGCTTCATGCCTGGACACCTGCTGTTGCCTACGAAAATCGTGCCTCGGCAGTTAATGAGTACATACGGCTTAGTCCCCACATGTTCTCGCTTAATCAACTGTGACAGTGAAATTGTGTTTTACAGCTTGTCTGGAAACAGTTGGGAGTTAAAAACAACTATCACGATACAGCACATTTCCATGATTTTCACAATGAAATGCTTGAAATTTGCTATTACCACATGCAAATTTACCAAATTGGTCTTTTTTTCTTTTTTTTCTTTTTTACAAGCAAGCAGAGCCTAATCTATGTAAAACACATAGGTACAAGGCTACAGCCTACACATAGTCTACAATTATGTTACTTGGTGCTACTGTGTACTGTACCTGAGCTTTGGGAAGAAAATGACTGATGTTACTTAGCATCTAATTAACTACTATTTAAGTTTACTGGTATACCTAGATCACTTGGATAAAGGGTAAGGTCAAAGGAAACGATCGTTCTTTGTGAGGGGCAGAACCACAGGGGCACTGACCCCAGCTGAAAGCTGATTGGCCCCCCAGTTACTCACTGATTCAAAAACCTATTTATCCAAAACGACTTAGAGTAGAGGGAGAGGTATTGGCTTATGCGCATACCCTAGGATACCCACGATCTTTACGTTGTTGCTGTGTTGCTCTGCTTGTTCAGCCACTGGTGCCTGTATCATTGTCTAATGCAGTGTTTCCCAACCAAGTCCTCAGGGAACCCCGGACTGTCCACGATTTTGCTCCTTCCCAGCTCCCAGCCAATCAGGAGCACCGAATACCTGGTACAGGTGTGCTGGGAGCTGGGAGGAAGCAGAAACGTGGACTGTCCGGGGTTCCTGGGTTAGGAAACACCTGTCTAATTATGTTTGGTCCCTCTGTATGAATTATGCCAACTTGTATGCCTTCTACATTATAAAATCATAGAATTGCCCCTGTTCCTTGTCCTCTGTTGTTCCGGTTTCCTACTGCTATACAAAAACATTAGAATCTCTAAAAATGTCCATAGAATATGATTGTGTATGATCAATTCACTAAATTTCTAATTTTGTGTGCCTCCTGCCTTGTGCTATGCGTCCCCTGGGACAGCCTCCCTGTTCACCACAACCATGTCCCAGCTAAGCAGTATGAGTACGGATGGATGGAAGGGTCACCATGAATTTTACTGGAATCACATTCTATTACATACAAGCATGGCAATCATCACCATTCTATGCTGAGAAATCTGGCAGCAGACACATGGTTTACATGAAAGATTCTGGGTTGTTTTTTCTTATTAGTGAAAACTGAAGTTTTTTTGTGGAAAAAAAGAAAAAAAACTTGTGAATCAACTAAACATAATGACCTATTTTGCATTTTAGATGTAATGCTTTATTATTAAAATTATTTTCCTACTTTCAGTATGTGAGTGGACACATGGTTCTTGCTTTCAAATGTTTGTATTACTATGTATGTACAGAGCTTAACAACTGAACATCGGTATGTATTAATGGGCACATGTTTTAAATTGCATAGGTGAAACATTGTAACAATTTACATTCTTAAGTGAATGTATTATCCATGTGTATTTTAACGTATTGGTCTGTACTCAAGCACTGCTTCTGCAATTATTGCAAATGGTTATATTTTCTATAACTTGAAACAAGTTAAAATGGCTCCTATATCATGGAGGCAGACTTCATTTTCAGCATATCCTTTTTTATTCTCTAGTATTATAAGCTGTTGTGCTATTTTACTGTGAAGGCATAGATTTAAAAAGAAACTATCCAAAATTGGATTATTGTACTGTACAGTATGTCTTTTTTTACATAAAAATATACATACTTGAGAATTGTTTGTTTTTTTCCTGTTTTAATGTACTCTCATAGGTGATATGTGTGTAGCATCAACCCTGATGGTGAGAGAACTATCACTGCCAAACTGTGTCACTTCGCTACATTTAATAGCTTATGTGCCAGTTACTGGGGTTGCCAAATTGTGCTTCCACCCAGCTGTTGATCTTGACATGTCCTGGAGGTAGCGCTTGTCTTGTGTGAGGAGTATATCAGCGTGCCGTATGAAACCTGTTACGTCTAGCGTGAGGTTCTTAAGTAACCTGGACCATGACCTGAGTTTCAGATGGACTGCATGTCTGCAATGAGATGGAAACCCTATTTCCGGGGAAACGCTTGATATCTGGACAGCCTCCAATGCGACTTCATCAAAAGGAGGAATTTTAAATTATGAATCCTTGTTCGATTTCAAGTTGACAGGCATATTTGCTGACAAGCATTCCCATAAAACCCTTAGCAGCTTGTGGTGCTTTGAAGACAGGGACACAGTAATGTTATCATACATTTCATACGCCACTAATTTTGGTTTAAAATAATACATGAATTACTACATATAACACGCACAAATGGTCTTAGGAAAAAGCCCCCATTGGTCTTCCAAATCTTGCTTGATTTCTTGCTCAGGTCCTTTTTAATAGTTTATGTATCTAAATATAATTAATAGCTGCTAATTAAAGACTGGACCTTGTATTTTCACCCTGCAAATAAAAGATGACAATATACATATAAAATGACTTTATAACGGCACATTTTGACCATATACAGATCATATGTATAAAGAAGAAGATGAAATTGATGTGAAACATGGAGGACATGGAGTGCTGCCCCTGAAACTGGAATGATGGGCCGGCAGGTGCGTGCAGAATCGAAAATGGCCTGCAAATCATGTTTTTACTAGCAGTGCTGGGAGCTGCATGGCTACTGGGGATATAAGAAATAGATGAACCTGGGAGCATCAAATGGTCCAAATTAATTTATGCAATGTTCTCGCCTCATGCTGGGTTTTCTGTGTCACTGTGTGTGTGACCGGCTGGTCCAACCTCTAGGGGGCGTGTAGCTTGTTGTTCACTCACACAGTAAAATCAACGCCGAAAAAGTCCGCATTGCGTTATTGTTTGTTATAGCTTCTATAAACTCTCACTTGCTAATTTATACAGAATCTACACACCGAGAGATTATAGCCTTTTTATTTTAAGTGTTCATTTTCCAGTTCGGTGACCCCAGCGCCAAGAGTTGGAGTAAATGGTTTCCTTACACTCTGTTGTCACACATGTTGGGACATCGGAAATTAGCCCTTTCCTACCCCCTTCCATTGTGAAACATCTTCTTACATACGGTGGCAAAAAAGGTGTATTCCAGCTGTTTTCTTATGCATAGATCTGCAGGCTGTCACGCACTGTGGTCAGAGAAGTATGCTCCATGCTGTGTAGTCGCAGGTCTATGCAATTTAATGCATTGGTAGGGGACTTTCGTTGAAGTTCTGGGATGATGTCAGGCTACAGCGGATAGCGGATATAGAGGATTCATGCTCAGAAGTCTAGCGAAGGTGCGGCCAAAACAAAGCATTTGAATTGCTCCTGTAAACAGTTGTTCTAAACTTGTAAGCAGTTTTAGCAGGCAGGGATGTAAACTGGGGAATTAAATGGTACAGCTCTCTTCATGTAGTCTGTGGCTGTGTCACCCGTATTTATCAAAACAAGAAGGTCAGCCCAGTTAATAATATTTCCAGATTCCTCAAAGCACATTATAGATTAGAACAGAGGGGCAATTAGTGTTATCTGACTGTGACTGGTGTTATCTGACTCGTGGGTTTTTTGTACTGGTCCAGCACTGCGCAGTGAAAAATGGCGACATGATGCCAGGCAGATGAATCCCAGCTTATACACAAGCCTGGCATGTATATTGAACATAGCAGACAGCTAACCGTCAGACAGAAATCTGAACTCAACCTGGCAGGATACACAAAAACGACAGAGATTTGAAAACGGTGAAAGTGAAGCCAAGAGAAAGGTTGTTCTTCCACTCAGATGTTTTAAGTAGAACCGAATTGGTCACCATTTTATTGTTTGGTTTGCATAAAGTCCCGTTCCAAATACTACGAGTCAATATTTTAACACGTCTTCAGAAATTCTGTTGCCTTCAGCCCTTGTTTGTTCTGCTGCATCTTCATTTTGCGTAAAGCCATCTGTTTCAGGCTCTGACAGCTCTTGACTTTAATTCAGTTAACCAACAGGGAACTCATAAAACAAATGTTCTCATGATTCATGTACTTCAAAATGTTTTCTCATTTTAGGCCTAGCTTTTCTTTAGAGAATTCATTTAGTCTCTGAACAAGGCGTAGCCCCATGAAAATTACTATATTAACTTGTAATGCAAATACAGAAGAGGATACTAAGGGGTGTGGCAAAATATAAATAATAACCAGTTCAGCTGTAGCAGTTTTTATAAAAGTGGGTTAGGATTAAGTTTAAGGTTAGGATTAGGGTTAGGATTAATCTTAAGGTTAGGATTAGGGTTAGGATTAAGTTTAAGGTTAGGGTTAGGATTAAGGTTAAGGTTAGGGTTGCTGCTGCTCATAATCCTTCAGTTCCAGGATCAATGCGAAGATCTTGTTGTGCTCGTTGTATTGTAGTGTATCAAAGTCTGGAAGTTGTTTGGGAAAGACGGCAATGTTCGGAACCTGTGTTCTTCCTCGCTATCAGTCAGAGGTTATTCTATAAAGTGCTGGGCTGTCATCCGGTCTAGGATCAACAAAGAGGGCTCTTATCAGCAAGGAGCAGTTCATGAACGCAGTAGGTGAACAGCTCCTCTTGTGTGTTTGAGCAAATATGAAGCATTGCACCCACCACAGCTGTGTTCCACATTAATCACAAATGAACAACTATTACAGTAGACAGTAAACACACACAGAGGAGTCAGATTTAGGTTGACATCACAGAGGAAATGATACACTAGTGGAACATGATTGCACTATTAATTAATTATAGTGTCTAATTAGCAATAAAGAGTTGCATTTTGAGATTAACATATATATTAAATGATTTTTATATTGGCGCTTTCATTATTATTATTATTATCATTATTGTTGTCGTTGTTGTTGTATGGTGTACTAATATTATATTGAGAAATAATAGTACAGTAATACTAATAATAATAATAAGGGCAGTCTATTTAAACATTTGATGTTCTCCGCTCCATAGACTTTAACATATTCTGAATATGATGAAGCTGAGATTCTGAAAATGTTCTGTTACAGAATTCTTTGTCGACACTGAAGCACAGTATTATATTTTAATCAAAATTGCTAATATTTATCATTATGAAAATGTGCAGACTGTAATATTGCATTCTAATTATATACGGCTGAGGATAAACCAGTGCTGACAGTCAATATTGGCTTGCTGTGAAGGGAAAGATTTATGGATTCTGAGAAGCGAGGTGATTTTCTAGGTATCCGTGGGGTTGTTTATAAGATGTATTGCACGTCTAAGACATGACCTGCTCCCGGTTCAGGTCTGTGACGCATTGACAAACGTCACGGTTTATGCCTGAAGCGTCAGGGTTGGAACCCACAGATTTGTGTGTGGGGGAAGTCTTTTGAACCAAAATAATCGCAGATTCTTTGCCTACAAAACCATGATGCGCAATTTTGAGACAGATCATTTTATATACAAAAAATGAGTAATATTTCAGTTTTACTAGTGCAGGTCTCTTTGGGGACAGTGCACAGATTTATGAGGGGGGTTAAAAGCATATAATGTTTCTAGGATTTAACAGCAGGGGAGCAGCAGAAACACACCTCTAGAGCTCCGTCTCCCTGTGAAACAGCAATTTTTACGCCACTGATTTAAACCAGTGATCATTTGGAAATTAGCCATTAACCCACTAACAGCTGTTTACGGCTGAGTACCAGGTCTATCCCTGGCCTTCACCTCCACTGTAGGACATCTCCATCCATCCATCCCGTTCTTATACTGTCTTAAGCATAGGCATACAAAGTGAAAGACCAAAGTAGGCGGCGCTGACAGAGCTGCCCTTTTGCTAAACTATTGCATGGATTCTAATGACTGACACTGTACTCTGCAGTAATTGTGTGTAATTG